CAGGGTTTCATTGCCAAGCGGCAAGAATCAAATTGTCCACCATCGGGGCCGCTTGTGCCCCGTGCTTTTACCATGACGTTGGAACACTTTCTAGACCTTGACATCGAAATCCTGGAAATGGGCATATGCGGGTTGATATTCGTCCGCAGGTACTGCGGATCTTGGAAAGCAGCGCGGCACTTCGTGGGGCCAAGCTGTAGAGTCTCTGGTGTGGATCGCCATCCCACCAGACCCGAGCCCACTTCGAATGCGGAAGCGAGCAAGTGGAAAGGTCTTAGTAGCTGATCGATCTCGAGCTAGGCGCTGTGAGACAACACAAGCCTGCCACCACAGTGGTAATTCAACGATGGCCTGATGCGTACATGTAGTGCGGATAGGCATAGCGTCAAAGTTTCGATATGCTCGAATGTCTACTCGAACCTATGAGCCCCATGCCCAGTTGTATGTACAAGGACTCTCAGATATTCTCCGACGGCAATCGAGATGGAGGAGCAACAAAATCCCATGGTGATCCACTGCACTGGATAGCAAGGGTAGCCCCAGCGGGTTCTCGGAGTCCGTCAACGTTGATGGCGAGAGAGTTGCACATACCACTCATCGGACTTAACGGCCGTAAGATTTGGCAGTCCGTTGCGATGGGCCTTCTCAACAGAGCTGATGCTGCGAGTTGCCAATTTATGTTTTCCAGGCTTCAAATTTCAGGTGAAGGTACCTACGGACTAATGGTTTTAGACTGAGATCAGACAGGTTCTCATGAAGTCATTCGAGGTCACGTACTATGCCCGGTATATTCTGGTGAAAAAGGTTCTACGAGAGAATATCGTGATGGCCTCGCTTACTAGTCGTTCTACAACAGTCGAGTATGAAGTGGTAACTTATGACCTCTTCTATTGATATCAAGCTAGTTTAGCTCCATGCAAGTTGCTTATGCCCCTGATTTGTAGGTCTCAGTTCCCCCGGCAGACTAGCCCGCTGACGTTTGCGGAGGAGCCGTCGGACTTAAGCCGTCCGTTTATCGGGCCAACAACGTCTCTAGAAAACCCACAACCTCTTCTAAAGTTTGGAAAGAAGTACAACATTACTGCGTAGAGTATTTCTCAGAACATCAATTGATCTCAATGAGATCCATGCCGCCCAATGCGCCTCTTCACCTTCCACCAACCCATTATCTGATGAAATTGTGTTATGTTCGCTCTACAGCACCGCCAACGTGACCAAGAAGCACAGTTCTTCTCAAGCATAAAATCCCGCGGGATTCTCAACCATTAAACCCATCCATGCCTTCTCGTCCTCGACCCAGCGTCTCAAATTTTGGATGATCCGGGCGTCATCAATTTCCCTAAACTCTTCCACCGCCTCCAAGCCTCGATTCAGGCGGTCTTTACCCTCCCCAGTATGAGGCCAGTCGCTGCCCCAAACCAAGCGATGCGGAACCGCCTTGACCAGAGCCTTGACAATCGACTCCATGTCATCGCAGCCGGACTCCGTTCTATCGGAAAGTCGGTAGAATCCCGACAACTTGACGATGACTTTTGAGGCCTTCGCGAGTTTGACGAGAGCTTCGAAGCCGGGCTGCTTCGTGGGATCGTTTAGGCTGCTTGTTGCTGCGTTGAGCTGCAATTTGGATTGAGCTCGCATTCCGCCTACATGGTCTGCAATCACTTGGACTGGAAGGGTTATTATCGTTTCGTACAAGTCTGTGTCCTTCTTTAGTCTTTGCTCTTACTCGTATTCCACTTAGAAGTGAATCTCACCTTTCCACATAGCAGGAGCGCAAAAGAGCTGGATCTTCCAGCCTGGGAGGTATTGAATCCTCGAAGCGGTCTGCAAGATAATTTCTTTCAGCGCCTCGAGATCTGTTGACTTGCCATCTGCCTGCTTGTTAATCCTCAACCCGCGGACGCCCGCATCATGCAATTCCATGAGATCTGCGTCAGAAATGTTCTCAATGTCCACCACGGCGATCCCTCGGACGATACGACTGCCACCCTCACGCAAGCTTTTCATCGAACGCAAAAGCACAGTGTTGTCACTTCCATACGGCGATGGCTGGACAAGTACGATGTTGAGAGGCGTTGCCTGGGTCAGGCTGGAACTGAAATCTAAGAGCTGCTGTGCCGTCGCTCGAGCGGGCGTGTATGATCTGCCGGGCTCAAAGGGCCCTATTGATGCGTCGAACACATGGACGTGAGTATCCCAGCTATCCGGCGAGAGGGAAGAGCTTCCAATCCGGTAGAATCAGTCACAGACGTAGAGTTGAGTTAGAAAGTACTTTTGGGCTACTCACCGAGCAGGAGTGAACTTGGAAGACTCCATTATTCAGTTGCTGCGTCAATCAGCATGAGCTTTTGATCCCGGCGCCTCTACTTCTTCGGGTTGCAAGAGCTGCTTTTCGGAAACTTTCTTGGAAGATCGCAAGCCATGGGATTCCCCGCATCGGCACAGGATCGGACCAGCAGATGCGTTGTTGCTACCGCGCGGCGAAATCCCGTGGTTGCCTTTCGGCGTTACTCCGCAGGCCGCCCCACTTGCGTTCGGGCTACTCCGGCTAAGCCCCGGGTTTCTACTCGGGATGAATGAGCCAGTCGGCTGCTGTCGCTTTTCGAATGATATAACCTTTCAATTCCTTAAGGAGAAAGGTCGCTCGGTAGGCTCCGAGAGCGCAAAGTCGGCGAGACGGAATCCCTCTCTCGAAGAGAGACAATAACCCAGTGACGGCCTCTTGAAACCTGGCTTGCCGCGTGCCTTGAATCGATATCACTTCCAAAATGGGGACTTGAATGAGCAGAATGTTGGAGTGATTGAAGGTTATGACAAAGCGACAGACAACTTGATGCCTTGCGAGCCTTTCGTTCGTCCGTCATCTTCGTCCCCGATGACTTGTCCGAAATATGTGAGCACAGGGCGCGTCTGTTGGCAGCTTCTCGAGCTGAGGAGTCTCACTAGCGGCTGAACTCATCGATGAAATATTCCCGAATTGTTCCACTACCAAACGGGTGCGGGGAAGCTTCTGGTCAAAGATGGTGGACGTCAAATAGCTCTGAAACCCGCTTCAATCCAACGGCCTCGCTAGACACGGTAACAGCTTAGTCCAGTTCACACTCAGAGTGTGGGAGACCGTTAGTTTTCATGTGTCGCCAACTAAGAATGTTAGCGGCTATGCGGCAACAACAAATTCAACCACACATATCAACCAATGGCTAGAATCTTGTTGCGTGGTCTCTCACTAGAACTGACATCTTCCTCCCTCATCCTCTGCCCTGTTCGTCCCCCAAATCAGGGATATCCCCTGGCCCTACCCAGCAAAGCCTGGCTGAGTCAGCGTTCTGGACTCCTGAAAGAGTCTAAGAGATCGCCGCACAGTTGCATCCCGCAGGACCTGATGTCATATCGATCGCAGTGCGGGGCTCGCCGCTGTGGCCCCCATTGGCAATGGGATTCGCTGCATGGGAAGAGACAGCGGGAGAGCTCCCAGCTCTTCCCCCGCGAACGACGTGCTGCCCACCGATGAAACCCTGTTTCTCATCCACCAACGCGCCGTGCGGCCACGACGGCTGACGTCACACTCGGTGCATCAAAGCAGGAAAATTCCAAGATTCGGCCAGCAAAGTGAATGAAGCACTGGGAAAACTCTGGGACATGGACGTCAACGTCTGTCGTCCGCGCAGGGACCGCGTGACTGAAGCACAGAGAACGATGTATGATGCATGCCCCCTTTCCCATCGCCTTTAGTAGCCTGCCTCCCCGTCTTAGTACTACGTTTTCGTAGCTTCCACACCCACTTACACCAACCACTACTCTCACCCACACCCATAGCGAGCAAACGAGTTGACGAGTTCACGATCATCCGGAGCATATCACAGCGGCATCTAGCGATACAGTATCCATCCACAAGCGTATCCAAAGTAAACAAGAATCAACCCAACCCAATCCAACCACCGAAAATGCCTTCCGTCCTAGGTCTCACAACAGACCCCTCCCCCCACGGCCCAGGCGCCGAACAAAAGCAAAAGAAGAAGAAGCCCCAATTCTCAGGCATCGCCGACGACGCAAACCTCGAAGGCAAACAACTAGCCCGCCGCGAGAAGAAGCCCGAAGAAGCCGGCTCCCCCGACGGCCTCGAAAAGAAGAAGAAGAAGAAGTCGAGCAAGTCCAAAAAGGAGAAGAAGGAGTCGAGCGGCCCCAAGCAAATGCGTCACTACTCCACCGACGAAGAAGACGACTCGGAAGAAGAAGGACCCCTCAACACGATCAAGCTCCGCAACCACGCCAAAGCAATCGAGATGGAGACCCTCCTCTGGGGCGCCCTCTGCCACAAGCCCAAGAGCGCCCTGAAATACATTGGCAAGGGCGCCATCATGTGCAACCCGCTCCTCTTTGGCGACGCCGAGGTCTACTCTGAGCGCTCCGAGCCCACGCTCAAGGAGATGCTCAAGGAGCACGCCGACCCACCCATGAGCTTCAAGATGCACAAGCCCCATGTCTGCGAAGTCGGCCTCATGGCCATGTCCATCTGCTGCGACGTCACCATCTTCCGCATGAATGACAATAACGAGCTTGAGGCTGAGGAGTGTCAGATCTCGTCTAGCTGGCGGCAAGTTGCGAGCGGAGATTGGGAGATGGCGAGCTCCATGGCCGGATGGCAGGAGTAGAGAGGTCTGGTTTGTCTGACTTACTAGAACCAAGCGAGCAGCGGTGGATGGCGTTACTGAGAATGTTGTTGTATTAAGTTCATTTTTTCCCACTTTCCATCTCATACTTGTACGGCGTCGATGTGTAATGATTCTATCTTCAATGTAATGTACTACGGCCTGGATGAATTGACTATCTGCATTGTTCGATGTTCCATACAGTCCTTCCTTCCTCAGCTACTCCTTTGAATCTTTTCAAATCGTGAAAACCATTCTCCAATTTTACCATTCTGGGACGGTACGAAGATGAGATACTTTTTTCTTCCATCTCTGTTTTCCCAATGCCTTCCATCCCTCGACTTCCCGAACTCAAACCTTGCCTGAGCTGCGACTCTTGAAATCATTCTTCGGAACCCTCACGGCCCAGTACAATGCCGCCGCCGCAGCGACATTGAAAATGCAAAATGCCCAAATGAAACCAAAATCGCGCCACCTGTTATCGAAACTCATGTTCATGCTCGACAAAAATGCATTCGTATCGGCCATACCGCAGTATTGGCAAGCATTCGCCTGGGCATCCACCAAGTAGCCACCCTTCTCCCGTATGTACGCAGCCATGTACTCGCCACAGGTGCTATTAGCGGGTGCGGCGAACTCGAGCAGCTCGGAAGCGCTGCATACCACTGGTGCATTGGCGAGGCCGACGCTGAGGAAACCCTCGACAATGTAAGTAAAGGGGTTGACACGATACATGAAGATCCAGAACCCCGGCAATGCGTCCGGGCCAGCCAAAACACTTTTATCATCGTCAGTTCGTTTCGATCAGATTTCTCAACTCACTCCAAGTAGGACAGATTATGACAGTTGGGGTGCACTTACCCGCAGAAAGCGAACATGAGAATGAAAAGCAGGTTCATAATCCCACCCGCGACCTCGGCGCTGCCAAGGCCAGCAATCATGAGATGTGCAAACGTGCTCGAGAATAAAAAGAAAACCCAGCAGATGAGAAAAAGCGTGACACCGCGCGAGTGAACGGAATCTGTCCATTCGGCGTTGCGATCGAGTCTCATCGGATAAAACCAAAACAGAAACGAGAAGATGGCCATAATCTGGCCGCCAAATTGTCAGTCTCGAGATTTCCGTCGGGTTGGGGCTTTGTGTTGCTGATAGTATTCACTTACAGAATTCCAAAACATCTCGACGATAACATTAGCACCCATAAATGCCACCCAAGAATACGATTTCGCCGGCCGTTCGCGGGCTTCGTACATGGTGCGCTGAGAGACAAATACCGGCATGATCTGCTGCGCCATCTGACTGAAGATGAAGAGGAAGATGTAGACGCCGAACATCTGATTCCGGAGCCCGCGTTCGGTATTATTACCGCCAAGGAGCGTCAGCCCAATGAACAAGGCCTGTCCGCGTCAGTCAGTTTGTTTGATTCTCACGGCGTGCTCGACCCAACGCAATACAAAATAGCACTTACCGAGCCAAACGTCAAGATGGACTTAGAAAAGATATACGAAGGACTGCGCCAGTACTGCTGGAAGACTCGTCTCGTCACCTCTTGTATCTGCACACCAAAACCTGCAGCAAACTCTGCGTACGTAGACGCATCGTGATCTGCTGTTGTAGATGTGGCACCTTTTTCGTCTGCATGTGAGGATAACCTTGCAAGCTCAGTCTGAACAGCCTGGTATTCGTTGCTTTCCCTCCATACGGCAGGCCAGTCGATATCGGTATGCGCCTTCGGCGCCGCCCCAATCACCTCCAGCATGTACTCGGCAGGATTGGATCCAGGTTGGTAGGCTGGAGCTCCGTGCCGGCTGAGATAATCGATGAGAACGTGTGAGTTCTTGCCAATGTCGCCGAAATACACCGTCCGTCCGCCTCTGGCAAGCAGCAACAACCGATCGAACCTCTGGAATAGCGATGCTGACGGTTGATGTATTGTGCAGAGAATCGCTTGCCCGTTTCTCGTCAGCTTCTCCATCAGATCACAGATCGACCACGATGTCTGACTATCGAGACCCGATGTTGGCTCGTCCAAGAAGAGAAGCAGCTGCGGCCGGGCAGCTAGCTCTACGCCGATGGTCAATCGTTTCCGTTGTTCAACATTAAGCCCCTCGCCCAGGTCCCCAATTACAGCTTCTGCATACTCCTGCATGCCGAGGAGATCAATCACTGTGTCCACGTAGGCCAACTTCTCCTCCCGGCTGTACCGCTTAGGTTGTCGTAGTAGAGCACTGAAACTTAACGCCTCTCTGACGGTCGCCGTATGAAGGTGAAGGTCCTGCTGTGTGACGTATCCCGTCTTGCGCTGGAATGAGGAGTCCCGAAGCTGCCCGTCGACAAGCATCTCTCCACTGACAACACCCATGGTGACACGACTGGCCAGAACATCAAGAAGACTTGTCTTACCAGCTCCCGAAACTCCCTATAATGATACGTAAGTTAGCCATGTCTTGCGGCCAATTGGCAGTAGGGCAGGAACCCACCATCAGTGCCGTCAGCGTCCCGGGCTTCACCCAACCGTCACAGTGGTCAAGGATCCTGCGAGTCTCGCCTTTGACTTGCACATCGTAGCAGACGTCATTCCAATGAAACACAGACGTTTGCTTCGCGAGGTCTGAGTTGTCGCTGTCGTCATCTACCCGTATCGTTGGTTGCGAATGGTTTCCTCCCAATGTCTCGACATCATCATGACCCTTTTTGGCACTTTTCAACGCTCGGCGCTTGAAAAGAAGAACCTCGCCCTTCGATCTCTCAGATGACACCACTTCGACTGCGACAAGGTAGAGGGACATGAAGAAGATGGTGATGGCAACCAAGATGCCAAAATTTCTCCAACGGTGACTCGCCAGAAACCCGTAGACGACTCGGAGGTGCTCTTCGCCATTCACGGAGTTAGAACCTGGCATCGCTCCACCAATATCGCAGACACGCTCATCCAAGGTAGAAGTTGAGTAACCGGGTCCTGTTGGGACGAATTGCGAACAGGTGAAGTTCCGTCCAATGAATTCATTGAGTGCGAGGCTTTCCTGTGCGTAGAAGACGGGATTGATCCAGCGAATCCATCCAATCCAGTCGTTGAGGTATGGCTGAGGCATGGCAAAGCCGCTGAACAGCATCAGAGCCAAGAGAATAATGGCTGAGGGCGCCAAAGCTTGCGACGTCGTCTTGGTAACGGAGCCGAGGAACCGAAAGATCATGGACATGGAGACCGTGATGGTGAACGAGAACAAGAGGAAGAAGAAAAAGGGCCCGGCTGACTCGCGTCGTAAATTCGTCATGAAATAGATTGGCACGTTAATGAACAACGCGTTGATCATCTTGTATGGTAAGTCGACGAGCATTGCGGCAACTGCCTCGGCACTTGGATGATAGAGTGCGTATCTGGCATGCTTCTCGATGATCTTTCTCTTTCCATAGAGCGTGAGAATCTCCATAATGCTACCCATAGCATTGATGAGAATGGTGTAGAAAATCAAGAGATTTCGGTTGTAGAGACTGGAGGAGTTTGGTGCCAAGTTGTAGAAGATGCTAGAGATGATGAGAGACTCGAAGAAATTTGTGGTTAACATTGTGATGGTCATCCACGGCTCGCTAATCAGTAGTTTGAAGCTGCGCCAAAGATTGAGGCTGATTTGCTGCACGTAGGACAACGTGTATGGTGACGAAGAACGCTGCGCTTTGGACTGATGCGCTCTTCGAGTGGCCGAGAACTGCTTGTGTGTATCTCCGCCAAAAGGGTACTGCTGCTCGAATGAATCGATCTCCTCCAACAGGTTCCGACGGTGCTGGCTATCCTTCCAGGCTTGAGCAAACTCTTCAGGACTCCGCGGCGGTGTTCGGCCTTTCCACTCGGGGTGCACAATTCTCTCGGAAGAGCTTGTCATTGAAGTCAAAAAGTCGGCGGTGGTCTTCTGCTCAGGACACAGGAAACCAAGATTTTCGAAGTAGGCTTTCGCATCGGTGGACCTCCCGAAGAAGATCTGGCGGCCTTCGTAAAGGACGATGACTTTGTCAAAAAGCTGACCATATGATGAGCAACGAAACATTCCAGCAGAGAAGATAGGCACTGACGATAAAGCAAGAATGGCATAGCAGGGGAAAAAGAGATAAAACTTACTTCATAGGCTTCCTGAGGTGCTTGGTAAATAGCTACAGAGGAGCTACAACCGAAAATGTCTGCCTGCATGCGAAGGGTTCGACAGAACTCGACTGCATTGGCAGAATCAAGACCTCGCGTGCTATTATCCCAGCATTGAAGAGGAGAATAGCTCAGGACGGCCTCCGCGATGCTGACCCTCTTGCGCTCGCCTCCGCTGACCCCTATGAAAATTTAGTCTAGGTTGCCTTAGAGTTGCCAAGTGTTTAAGCTACTCACCACGGACAAAGTCGTCTCCTACCCGCGTTTCTTTCGTGTGTGAGATACCCAAAAGTGCCATGACGACGTCACGAAGGTGCTCTGCGTACTGGTGTTGGGAGATCCCATGCGGAAGATCCATATTCTGGGGGCACCGTGCCCGGGCCGCAAAGTAGAGAGTCTCGCCGACGGTTAGGTAGGGAAAGTGATGGTCGAATTCTGCGGTGTAGATTGCTTCTCCCTTGAATGTCGTTGTCATCTCTTTCGGGGAGATGCCTTGATAGTTAATAGTTGCTCCATCGGCGATATAGAAACCGTGGGTCTCGCCAGCGATGGTCTTGAGCAACGTCGTACAACCAGAGCCGGGTGGACCAAGCACCGCTAGCATCTCTCCACTTTGAATGACGCCTTCCAAGTTGTGCAGAATGTCGATGCGCTGCTTCTTCCCTGAGGATGAAAACCAGGAGGTCAAGGCGGCAGCCTCCAGAAAGAAGTTGCCAACGGTCTTCTGATAGTCCGTAGTCGTTCCCAGGCCATAGACCTGCAAATCCCTAAAAGCAAGGCCCACCGTATTGGGTGCATTTCCATGAAGGGCATTGGTCTGGAGCCTATAGAAAGCTGCGGCCCATCTTCGGGCGTCGAATTTGTCGGTCTTTGGATCGAGTGTGGCATCAGATGGCTCAGGAAATAGTGAATGGCCTCCTCCATGGGATGCTGAAGTTAGGCGCCTAGCCAAGTCATGGATCTCTTCTTCGGCTTCCTCCTCAGCATCTGACGGGAGCGGGACGCTTTCAATGCTGTCGAATGTGGATGCATGGGGTTCATTCGCATGAGGACCGGGGTCCAAGATCGCAGGTGCCGGCATTTTGCAACTCTTCTCTAGTGGAAGGAAGACTTTGGCACAGCTCGAGTAAGCTCTACACCGCAAGACTCTCGGTTGGGATGTGATTCGGGCTGTCTTGTCGTCAGAGTAGATGTAGGGATAAGATGGCAAAGTAGATCGTGTAAGGAATCTCTTGTAATGACTTTTTTACGTTAGATCATCAAGGAGGTCTCCGGGCTTTTGTATTGTCGACATTGAATTTGTTCTTTGTCTCGTGAAGAGAGAAATTGAGAAAGTATTCATGACTGCGTTCGAAATTCGAATTGAGTTCCATCCATAACTGTGTGTTGGTGGAGAAGTTGCAGTTTATTTTCTCGGAAAGTGCGAAATGCCTTTGGGCGTCGTCGATCCGGAAGGCGTTCCGGTGAACCGACCAAGGCCGGGAAGGAGCGCTCTGGAGACGGCGTCGCACTTTCGGAAAATGCGAAAGACCGGTTAAGCGGGTCGATAGGCCACATCCTCCACTCAGAGACGAGAACCGTGGCACGTCAGAGCTGCCAAGGATGGGAAGAGCGCCGCTGGCGGTCCCAATTGGGGAAAGGTCCATTAGACGAAGTCAATCTGGTGGCAGTCCGCGGTCACTGTGTCATTTCTTCCGAGAAACAACTCCAGCCATGCGCTAAGTTCCACACCATTCATGACTCTGAAGTGAGATCTTGTGTGGAGAACCTACCTAGGCTACATGAACTTGCAGTTTTGAGGCCCGTAAAGCGCTGGCGCGTGTCATCCCGTTTCCCTATCTTCGACAACAAAAGCTGATCGGTCCGTCCGTATGCACTGAGACCCTTGGATGCTCCGAGCCAGTTGCGGCTCTGTCATCTGTATTCCCTATCCAAATCCCATTTGGACTTACAGTCTCGGCATACCAGGCCCTGTAGGTTCGGAACCCCGGTGCCCATGGAGCGGCAAGAAGTTGTGGTTGTGAACGGCCTTTCGGTAAGCCCGCATTTTCCATCAACTCCAATTCGAGAATCCCAAGCCCTGCCCGCCTCGAGATCTTCATCAGGCGATTCTTTGAAGCATGCCCCTGCAGATCTGGGAGTTTTCATTAGTCCGATGGCATTTGACTTACGTTCCATTTGTAGTGTACGAATTGTCGCAGCAAAAAGGTGTGTCTCATTGTTAGTCCGCTTGCAACCTGTGTCATGCTGATACCCTCCCAGCTTAGATGTAGTCGTGACACACCCATCTGTGAGCGATGTAGTACACTAAATCTTTCATGCCAGTACCCTCAGAGGAGGCCTAGGAAACGTACCAAGAGGGAGGCAGATCACCCGAGGTGAGCCTATCTTAAGCTCACATCACATTCAGGCCATTTGATAGAAGCACTGACTCCCAAACCCTCAGTGGCACCGACAGTGCTACTCTTTCACTCATCCTTGACCGTTTAGAGCGTATTGAGAACAATCGTCCAGCGTCAAGTGTCAACCCTACCGCGTCAAAATCAGACCATCGACAAGCTTCTGACGGGTATGGCTCCCCAGAGCCCTACTCACCACCGGCACGATATGGATCGAGCCACTCGGCTTCACCTCCGAGTCCACCATCCAGGGTCGATTCTAGGAACACACCCTATCACGAGCGGGACACATTACCATCTCTCAGGCCAAATGGATCTGAAGCTTCGCGCCACCCCGCAGTGCTGGACGTTGCTGCAACTCTTGGTGACACGTTCGATCGTGTGCGAGACCAAAGGCTCCGACGTACTATGGGCCACAACACCATTGCAACAGAGGGTATCGACATTTCTCTCGATAAGGCACGGACCTGGATTCATAGTAAGGATTTCATGAACTCCGTGCCTCCGCAATACTGACGGTCATGTCAGATTACTTCACCTACAGTCCCACTGAGACATTCCTCAGCCTTGTGGATAGGAAAACTATTGAATTAATACCAGATATGCTCCTGATGAGGCATGTCACCCTCGACCCCTGTATACTCATCATTTACTATGTCATCTTGTGGCGGGGATGCTACATCCTGAACACGAGATCTTTCCACAGCCCAGACGGCAGATACGCGCGGAAGCTTTACCTGTGCTGTCTCAGAACTATGCCTTGCTGGCAGAAGGAAGCCACGGGTTCAATCACTGACTTTATTGCTGCTATTTTCATGGTATACCACCCCTCCCCCCTTTTGTGCTCGTCTAACGTGCCATGGTCACCTTCACTAACTGAATTTACAGACCGGCATTGCAACAGAATCCTATGACTTCGAAATGAGTCTAGAAATGCACCAATTGGCTTGCGAGTACGCCAAAGGTCTCCAGATGCACAGTCTCGACAGCAATGACTACTTTGTAGCCACCGGTTGTCCCAGCACCGATGAGGACCGCAAGGGCATGTGGGAGCTCATTCAAACGGATCTCTTCTATCACTTGATCTACAATAAGCCGGCAACTCTATATCCAAGCCTCGATAAGTGGCAAGTCAACTTACCATGGCTGTCACTCGACCTACCCCCGGAAAAGGGTGCTCAAGTGTCGACAATATCATTCCTCTTCCGCAGCCGACTTGCGTTCATCCTGATCCGCTTCTTTCAGACGCTTGAAGGACTCGAGAATGAGTCAGAAGCTGTCGAGGCTATCGAGCCTCTGTGTCACGAGATCGAAATATTGTTTGATGAATGGGGAATTGTAAGTCGACCTCACAACCTATCGCTCTGCTCTATCCGATGGGGTTCGAATTCGTTAACACTGCAACAGGAAGACTGGATCAAACGATCAAGCGACGACCACATGGATCTGTGGATTTTGGCAAGCTTGATTCTAACCGGCTACACCTCCATCATCTTCATGCTGCGAAAGGCTACCCTGCTGAAATCGAACTCCCCTGTGCCAGTTTGCACCGACAATAACGTGCCCAGAACAGACTTCTCAACCCGAGCCTCGCGACGCATTCTCGACCTTACGTACAATATGCTCCACGTCTGGAAGTTCCCCGCGGCGGAGACCATCTCGTACATCCTTGGCGCATACCGAGCGCACACGGCCTATGCCCATCTGGCGAGCAACGCCATGAATGCCCCCAACCCTGGCGACATGATTGAGGATCTGTATTTGCTAGATCGCGTCGCCCAAGGTATCGAGACTGCGACGCAGCAGGAAAGCGACTTTCTCCCTTTGGCACGGGAGATGAAGAGAATCAATGCTCAAGTCAAGGAAAAGGTAAATGGCACTACGAGCGCACGGAATACTTGATTTCATGTCTAAAAAATTGTCGCGACACCTTTTTACCCAACTCGGCGTATCAGAAAATAAACACATTCAGCTTGGTTGTACCACAACGTTGGACTTCTATGCATTATCTACACAGCCCCTTCAGCTTCGAGCAATACGTCGATTTAAGCTGTCCTTGTGATGATTGGCCGGTGTTGCTTATCGCGTCTTCGCTGACTGCAGGTCAGAACAACCTCTTTAGTGGCTAGTCTAATTCTTCGCTGTCGAACGTTTCTCATCGGTCTACTCAAACGGGAAGTCTGCAAGAGGCTGTCATGCAGAAAACAAAGTCATGCGCTGCCAACTGCAGCTCGTGTGTAATCTGCCCGCCACTGAATGAAACGATCATCACAGCCTTGTCATCGAAGCCTTCATGTATATTATCCTGCCGTTTTCTCTAATCCCTCGTCTCATCGTCGTCTCTATGTAGTATGAGCTACTTTCAAGGGACTCTTTTCTCAAAAAGGATAACTAGCAGGACCATCACCATGTCTTGTGCCACTGACCAAGCGGCTTCTTCGAGTCCAAGGACTTCAGCAAACCTTTCATCCAATACTGCATACAGTGTCTCATCGGTAGACAGCGAAGATGAACAGGTTCCCGTACCCGCCAGAACTCGCAGTGCAAACAACACCACAGGACCAGAACATGTTGAAATGCTTCCAGCAGCAGAGAAGGGCAGCAGCAAACCAAAACGAAAGGGCCCTCGGAGATCCTTAGGTAGAGTCGTCTGGCAGATGATAGCTTTCTACGTGCTAGGTATAGTTGGCCTTCCTATCTGAATAAATGGCGCAATCATCGCTACTTCAATACTGACAAGTCTCCCGTCTACCAGCCTTAGGATTTATGGCCACCCACATGGCCTTCTTCATTCTTCTAGACGGCCAGCCTGTTGCAACTTCTGGCTTCAGTCAGAATCTTCAGGCCGCTCTAGCCAACTTCCTTGCCATCGCCGTCGAAATTTGCCTTCTGAGTGGCATCGCAGTAGCCTACGACCAGACCCTATGGCGACTCCTCCGTCGCAAAGCACTCAGGGCGTACACAATCGATAAGCTCGTTACCCTAGTTTTGAGTCCGTGGAATTTGTTCCGGCCGGAGCTGTTGACTAGTGCGCCCGAGCTCTGGTTGATCGCGTTTCTCTGCTTCATGGTCCCAGTTACTGTCGTCTTCCCACCTGGTGCGCTGACAGTTGAGTTCGAAAATGCGGTGTTGCCGGTCAATTTGACGAATGTGCCGACACTGGATATCAGCGACTGGGGAAACGGGACTGCCAGAGACTTTATGCGGCTCTCGTTGATGGAGCCTGATAACGATCTTGTCTACGTGTTAGTGTCCACTCCACCATGACCGACTCTTAGCTGATTGGATCTATAATACTTCAGGGATGAAATACGACCAAATTTGAGACAGACTGCATCCCTTGTCATAAGTCTCGGGGAACCGGTGCATTTTGCTTCGCCTTGTACTGGTCCTTGTACCTACAACTTGGTCTTTGATGGACCAAAGTTCGATTGTAATCAGCCGAAGGCAACAAAGCAGAGACACCCACCCCTCAATCCCTGCACTCGAGACGTTTTCTACACAGAAAACGGGGCATACTCGAATCGCTCCTTCGTGTACAACAACACCCTTGTCATAACTTGGGACACTATAAAGGGTGGGCAGTGCATTCCAGACGGCCGCAGAACAATGGACTGCACTATGGAGCTTGCTACCTACAACTTCACAATCTCTGACTCTCAAAATGGCACCCGTGAAGTTCAGACTCAAATACTCAAGACTTCACCTATATGGACAGATGAAGCACCAGTTCAAAAAGAATTCGCAACGTACTTCTTCGATTATAGATACGAAACAGCGTATGACGCGCCCATAAATCAGGAAGAGCTCACGAAGAACTTTACACGTGCCCAAGCGTTCGCTATTAGAAAAGCTGCCGTAGATGCCATGGTCGGCGGTGTGTTTCTATGTGAGTGAGGACTCGACTAACTCATATTCCCTGTTTCTGATGCGTTCAAAGACCGAGATGAAAGATATGGTGTCGAGCTACCATGGATTAAGCCCGGGCCGGGCTCACTCGCCGCAGGAAGCCCTTACATTGGGCTCGAGGATAAGTTCAACCCGACACTTGATATCAGCCCCCAATCAATCGAGAGATATCTACAGGATGTCGTGATTTCCACTGTGTCGTTGAATCAAATGTCGGCTGGGCCTCTATGGGTCAACAGTCAGCCTGTTCAGGCACTCGCTGGTGCAAACATCTACAGCTTCAGCGAGCCGTGGCAGTTCTATGCCCCGTACGTTTCGTGCCTGATAGTCACGTTCATGGTGTACATTCGCGGGTGGCGGGCATTATATCGAAACGGGTGTTCGGCTGGGAATAGCTTCCTTCAGTTCGTAGTAACAACCAGCACGAGCAGCAGGCTACATGAACTTGGGAAACCTTGCAGTATCGGGGGAAGTGAGAGTTTCTCGAAAGAGTTGAAAGACGTGAAGCTCCGTTTCGGCATTAAGCGGACGACGGGTAATGTAGAATCAGGTGATGGGGATGAACGGGTGGTTCTGCTTGGGACTGAGTCTGAGATTGAATCGCTTCGGACTTGACATCTCGGACCTCACCGCCACGTAAGCGCATTTCCACATGACGAGGTTGGAGGTCGAAGCCGATTGCAGTCGTGGAATAGAATTTCGACTATAGTTTAGCTCAGGTGGGCCTCCGACGTCGACACACTGAAAACCTTATTAATTGGATGATCTCATCACAATTCACCATAGACGAGCTTATCAACGTTCACCGTTCTTCCGGACATGTTGCGGAAAGGCAAATCTGTGATAGTGGGATAACGCAGTCGGGTTTATGATGCTCTGCAATGTCGCATTCACAGACTTCCAGTCCTGACTTCCTGTATCCATTTCTTAAACCTCGCAGAGCCTGTTTTCAGTTTGTTGAGGCATCTTTCATCATGCCCCGTGACCAAGTAACTCTTGTGAGTCTCTCTATCTCGGCAAAAGCAACCCAATATTGAATCTTTGAACCGCAGGGCACGCCTTAGATCAAGAAAAGACCGCCAACGCAAACATGTGACGAACAACAATACGCAAACTTTGACCGGTCAGTATGGGCCTCCCATCTCGCATCTGTCAACATACATCACATGCAAGAACGTAGGTTCGTTGGGGATTGCGTCACCTCCTGTGGATTAATACCTTGAAGCAAACTTGAAATCAAATGTTGCTTCATCTGTTCCAGGAAACCGGCTATTGCCACTGATGTGTGCGTTCTGCTGCATGTAGCAATTTGATTTCAACAGATAAGACGGGAAGTATTGATTTTGCCTCGTGACTGCATAACCAGGTCCGCTCCCGAACAGAAACTCTCTTTCCAGTCTAGACAAATTCATAGGTTCATCGTTCACTATTTCAATTGAGACCTACAATGCCGCAGGTTGCACGTGAACGCATGTGAAATCCTACTCAGAAAGCAATAGTACATGTTGGAAGCCATGTAGATATTTAGGCAATACACTGATCTCCCTTCTTTGGAATGTGAAGTTCATCTCAACCGACTTGGACGTGCCTACCTGCTTGAGCCTTCCACTACAAACTTCCGCAACCCTGTTAGAACAACGAAAATGGCGGTCTCTAGCCTGAACAAACCCGCGGCCCCATCCCTTGGGCTGCGATCTCAGAGATCTACCCATCGCCTCAACCAGATCGAGAAACTTCGTGCCAATGGCATTGGCGATTTACTTGACTTGCCCCAACTTGTCGTCTGTGGCGACCAGTCCGCAGGCAAAAGCTCCGTGCTAGAGGGCATTACTGGCATACCTTTCCCTCGTCAAGAGGGTCTCTGTACGCGGTTTCCCACGGAGATTGTTCTCCGGCACTCCAGTGAGCCATTCAGGGCGAAGGCCACTATTCGGCCTCACTCCTCTCGCCCGCCTGGTGTTGCACAGACTCTCAGCAACTATGAGCGCGAGATGGAGGAAGACCTCTCCGACCTTCCCGTCGCCATTGAGGAGGTCTCCAAGCTTATGGGGATACGCGGCTTCACCGACTCTCCTGGTGATGTTGCGTTTGCATCTGATGCTCTGCGCATTGAGATTTCGGGCCCCACAGGATTGCAACTGAGCATAGTCGACCTCCCTGGACTTATTTCGGTCTCCAACGAAGAACAGTCCCAGGCCGATGTTGAAGCTGTCCATGCAATGGTTCGGAGCTACCTCAAGAGCACCCGGACCATCATTCTTGCTGTGGTTCAGGCCAGCAACGACTTTGCCAATCAAGGTATAATCAAAATTGCCCGCGAGTATGACCCAGATGGACAGCGGACTGTCGGTATAATCACCAAACCCGATCTCATCAATGCCGGAGCTGAAGCCAAGCTCGCCAATATCGCCAAGAACAAAGACGCTATCAAGCTCAAACTTGGCTTCTTCCTTCTCAAAAATCCTAGTCCATCTGAGATGAAGGCCGACAGTGGAAACAACAGGCGTTCAGAGCGGGAGATGAACTTTTTCTCTTCTCCAGCCTGGAAGGCTCAGAATCTTGACATGAGCCGGGTTGGCATTGAGAATCTGAAAGTTTTCTTGCAAGAGCTTTTGGATGAGCACCTCGAGGGAGAGCTGCCCAAACTGAAGGAGGAAATCAGACGCAAACTTGATTTGTTTGAAAAAGATCTCGAAGACATGGGTCCTGAACGACGGTCTCTCGGCGATATTCGATCTTTCATGACCAACCTTAGTATGCGCTACTATCAGCTAGCTCAGGCGGCCCTGGATGGAAACTATCACTGCTCAGAATCCACCTTCTTCGAGAAAAAGAATGGAAGCAGACTCCGCTCCTTGGTTCATCAGCGGAACGGTGCTTTTGCAGCCAAAGTCCGTGAACAAGGTCACAAACGCGAAGTCACCAACAATCCACCTACGCCGCAGTCAGAGGATGGTTTCAGCGTTAGCAGCGGACAATTGCTTGTGACACGAACCGAGATGGTCTCCTGGGTCAGGGAGGTAAGCCTTTGATGATCTACTGCACTATTCATCTGTAATAAAGTCAAAGCGGCTAATTTTGATCAGACCTACGTCGAAACCAGAGGTCGTGAGCTTCCTGGCAACTACAACCACATCTTACTCGCTGAGCTATTCCATGAGCACTCCAGTCCGTGGCGCTATCTCGCAAAAGACCATGTTTCCACTGTTCTAGAATGTGTCTCAAAGTGGATTAGTGTAGTGGTGGCTACGCTTTTCCACGAGGATCGCCTGCGCAGAGACATTGGCAGTTTCTGTCAAGAGCGGCTAGAGCGTTCTAGAAAGACTGCATTTAAGGAGCTTGAGCAAATATTCTTGGATGAAGACCGCCATCCAACGACGTACAATCACTATTACACTGACAACATCCAAAAGGCGCGCAGCACATCGCAGAGAGACCTACTAGAGGACTCGCTCGCCATGCTTGGGGGGCGCGATTATAGAACTCGCGATGCTAGTGACAGAAGGCTTCTCGTTGAAGAATTGCAACCCAAGCTTTGCGTTGATATGGACCAGCAAGCATGTGAGGAGGCTCTCACAGGCCTCAATGCTTACTACAAGGCACGCACCCAAATCCCCCTTGTCTCATCTCTGCTCAAGACACTAATTATATCTCTTAGGTTGCGATGAAGACATTTGTGGACAACGTGTGTAGACAAGTCATTGAACGTCACATCTTGGCTCCGCTACCAGAGATTTTCTACCCCACGACAGTCTCGCAGTTCTCTGACGATGAGCTACTGCGCATAGGGTCGGAGCCGGAGAAGGAAATCGCTCGACGGCAAAGTCTGGAGGCGTCTGCTCAAGGGTTACGAAGCAGCCTTATTGAATTGCAATGCTTACCAGGCTAGCTCATGTTTAGATCAATGACTGTGCTGAGCTTTTCTTGCCTATACTGACGCTTGTGGCTATTCCTTCTTTTGTTGAAGTTTTGATGAGACGAATCTGGTACAACATTTGCAAATAGCTTGACGTTATAGTTTCCTAATTGTTTTCGTCGTTTATTCGGGATCACCGCGCTAGCTTTCGCCTTACTAGATTTTTCATCTTTGATGTTTGCTGACCTAGTAGCATAGATGTCGTTCTGTTACCCGCAGCTTTCTAGTGCCATTCTCTTTGCAGGATATGAAAGTGCAGCAGCTATCTGCAAGCCATGCCCTGATTACATTGGTGTGTCATCGGCAGGTTTTGAAATGAGCCAGCTTGGCAAAGTGTTTGGGCTTCAGAAACAACTAGTCGCTAGAACATGACGAGGCCCTGTCCGTCTTACCATTATGCCGTCCACTTTGCGTTGCCTTCCGCAGGGTGACTGGCTTCCATCACAACCTAAACCCACGTCTTTTTGAACACTATTCGAGGTCAATACTACCTAGAGGCTCTCGTCGATTCTCTTGCCTGGTTGTCGTGGGTCCCTAGGCTCTCCATGCCAACATGGACTACACCGCTTCCAAGACTGTACCTGGCAAGAACCCGCCGCCGTATACCTTAACTTCTTTTGAGGCTGGAGCGTTAGATTCATCCCGGTCTTTCATTGACATCCCTTCTTATTGTGGGAGATGGGACCACATCGAGCTCCCCGGCAGCGGCAACCGACCCCGGCTCTCCCTCGCCTGCTCCCTAGACCAAGAGTCGCGTGCTGGACCTGCATACGCCAGAACTCGGCCCGTTGGAGTTCATTGCCTCCCGAATGCCCTTAAGCAGATAAATAAGACCTCTCCAAAGGACAAGAAACAGGCATTCGACACCTCACGAGCGAGCATTATCTGTCGAATTCCAGATATCAGGGTGACACAACTGAACATCTCGAATGTCAGTGGTCAGACATTGCAGTCCCCGGCCGCATCCAAGATTTTAAGCTGTATTCCTAGTCTTCCCGACAGCGCTCAACGCTCGGCTACCCACATAGGTACCCTGCACTCTGTTACACTGTACGTAATAAAAAGACCTTAAACAGGGTATCTGTCTCCGAACCGGCGTGGAGCGGCCAAGTATCACTTCACGCCCTATCTTAGCAAAAGGGAGCACGCGACGGTGATCTGCCGACCACCGGTGCAAGTCGACGCTTTTCTACGGCTATGCGTGGCTTTCGGCGGAACTCCCGAGCGGAGGTGGGTGGAATGTCGAAAGCAAAGGAGCTCCGGTGCCACGGCCAAGACTTTTTTTTCCCCTCGTTGGTTTTTCTGTCGACAGTCCCTCTCCTCTCCACCCCCAAATCAAATTTCTCGGAGCCCCATGCCCGACCCTTCACCCTGCCCTCGCGCTCCCCCGCCGAGCCTCTCGGCAATGCTCGGCGCGGCACGGCATTCGCCGTGGCGGACCAATGGGCGGAGACCGCGGTCGTACCAACGTCGCCCGAGAGTCATGTCTGACGGATGCCAACCGGGGCGCAATCACCCTGGGCACCTTGGTAACGAGCCTTGGTCTTCTTGGACGCGCCGGATCCTTTTGCTTTTCGTGGAGCTTCTTGCTGGCTGACAACGCGATTGCAAACTGGAGACCGAGTTTGGGCCTCTGGTAGAGCTGTCATCGTCAACTGTCAAGATGGGGAGACGATGAGACCCACGGTTTGTGGGGTGAACCTGGAATGGAAGCTCGAGAGAGAGATTCGAGCTGGATCAGACCGAAGTGTCTGCGATAACGCGACAAGTGGTCAGTTGAGATCGCAACGTTGCGAGCCAGATGTGAGGCTCTTTGCATCGCAGGCATTTGATACTCGCTGATACTCAGTCAAATCGCCTGCACACCGTTTGGTGAATAACACCATCAAAGCCCCGTCGTCACCGCCAAGTTGTAATTCCAGCCAAGGCCAATACCCAGACCACTATCCCGACATGACAAACTGACTCGGCCAGTCAAGCTTCGTTGTCCTATCTCTTTTCATCCAGTATTCTCCCTTTGGATGATCCAGAAAAGTTCTCCTGTCCAGCCCACTCTTCCACTGAACCTTGCCTCTGCCAATGCCGCGTCGAAGTGTTCCACCCCATCTCATCCCGGTCACACACGCGCCTACGATGCTAACTTGCTTCTCGTTTCCCAAGATCCTACGCCGGCGGCCGGTGACCCTCTCAATTCCTCTCTCAGTCGTGTGTACGAGCCTTGCAGTCTCAGTCCAAACCTGCGGATTGACCAAGGCATTAGTATCCAGCCCTCCTTCATCGACGCGCTGGTGGGTAACGCGGGGATGGAATGGATCCTCTTACACCTTCCTTTCGCGTGAAAGATGCCAATTGCTGTGCCCTCCCCCAGCTCTGATATCCTTCTTGGCGGGTGAGAGATACGCGTGCCCTATCTTGCCCTCGACGGAATTCCCATCTTGATGGCCTGGCGCACCCTCCAGTTCCCAGCGGAATCGCCCACGCGAGCTTTCTCTTGTTCGCCCCCTTCCCAAAATGTGGCCGGCTCTACCTTTAGCATCGTAGACTAGCCGGCCCCTGCTCGCCACACTGATAGACAAGACTCTCGGTGCAACCCAGCATCAGATTGACCCACGCGCCGGGTGCTCTTCACGTACGGAGTATATATCCCTCGCTCGGGTCGTCGATCGAAGGTCGACGGAATTCCTCTTCCTTTCTCCTTGCTTTTCTCTCAGCGTGTCAGCGATCTCGGTACGGCTTGTTCTCCAGTATCTTGTGACTCCGTCTCCAGGCAACCCCGTTGTTTCGTCAACATCTAGACACCTCACCCCCGTCCAGAAGCCAGCCCAAGATGGAGAAGTCAGAGTATGGCACGGCCGACAAGGCTGTCCGAGAGAACTCAAACTCCTCGATGGATCAGGTCCAGCGCCAGACCTCTGTCACATCGGAGGTGTCGGTCCACGAGAAGAAGCCGTGGTGGCACCCGGTCATCGAGCCCGGTTCCGCCGTTCAGATCATCATCGCCGCCGCCATCGCCGTCGGCATCGGTTTGGGCGTCAAGACTACCCACCCAGATATCCCCGCAGCCGCCACGACCATTCTCATCATCCCTGGTAACCTCTGGCTGCGGTCTTTGAAAGCCGTGGGTATGTTCAACCTCGTTCCTTGAACATCGACCATTCCGAGCTAATGAATTCTCTCAGTCCTGCCTCTCATCGTAACAGCCATGGTTCTCGCCGTCCAAAAGCTCAAGGAAATCTCCCACGGCGGCGCCAAGCTCGCAAAGTGGACAATCGGCTACTACGTCATCACAACCATCGTAGCCATTGTCCACTCCATCATCATGACCTCCCAAGTCTGGGCCCGCCTCATGACAGTGGCCTCGGCAGAGTCCATCGCCACAGACAGCATGTCCGCGAAAGACCAAGAGTCCTACGAGGAGAGAAAAGACCAAGACATCCCTGCCACCGTCACCGAGCTCTTCAACTCCCTCATCCCAGCCAACGTCGTCGACGCCCTCGCCTCTGACCACCTCCTCGCCGTGCTCGTCAGTGCCGTCGTCATCGGCTACCTCATCGACAACCGCGACGGCCAGTCCTCCCTCATCAAGGCAGCGCGCGAGGTCGAGACCCTCATCATGATAATCATCACCTTCCTCATCAAGCTCGCCCCCATCGGTGTCTTCTTCCTGATTCTGCCAAACATGTTCAAGCTCGACATCAACGATATCGGCGTGAACCTCGGCATCCTGATGGGCGGCGCCATCAGCTCCATGTTCTTGCACCTCTTCGTCATTCTCCCCCTCATTTTCTTCGCCTTCACCCGCCAGAATCCATACACTCTCTGGTTCAAGTGCTCACCCGCCTGGTTGACGGCTTGGGGGACAGCATCCTCGGCAGCGACCCTCGCTGTCACCATGAAGTGCTGCCGTCAGACGCTCAAGGTCCCCGAGACAGTCACCAAATTCGCCGTGCCCCTGGGCTGTCTCGTCAACATGGACGGAACCGCCATCTACTTCCCGATTGTTGTCGTCTTCCTCGCACAGACGCAGGGCCATGTTCTCAATGCCGCCGACTACATCATCATTCTGTTGCTGTCGACTCTGGCTTCCATCGGCACCACTCCCATCCCCAGCTCATCCCTCGTTCTGACGGTCATGATCTCATCGAGCGTCGGCATTCCTCCTAGCGGAATGTACGGTGTCGTCGTTGCTATCGACTGGTTCATTGATCGATTCCGCACTGCTACCAACGTTAGCGGTGACCTGTTCGCCGCCGTAATTGTCACCAAGATGACCGGAATCACCGACCCTGTCGACGGCTCTGAAGTTGTTGAGGAAGAAGTCAGGCACAATGACGAGCGCGTCTAAGTGATTTGAGTGTAGAAAGTACACGTGAAAAAGGGGCAGTACAATAGAATGAATAACACTCTGGTCGAATATCGCAAGGCATCGAACCACTAATGAATGTACCGGAGTGGCCTTTTTGTGACTTGTGTTCTCTTTTCGTGGAATGGTCGGTATATAAAGTCAATGGTCCCCTGCTGAAATCGTGTTGCCGATGCCCGGTATCGCGCGGCCAAAGAGTCACAAGGCCGCATCAAAACGAAGACAGCTTGATGGTCCTACGCCGAGCCGACTAAGGAGCATCTTGCTGACTGGGGAGGACAGGTCATCTATCCGAGCGCTTCCCTTGGCGGACCGGAGCGTTGGACGGCAAGTTGAAAACTTGCCGATGAAAGTATTATTTAATGTGAATGTACTTGGAACCTCAAATCATTGCTCTAATATTCAACTCGAAGCGCCTCGCTAAACCCAGACATCTCACAAAAGTTCGCCATGTAAAACGCTCCAAGTCCGCTCTGAAATGACTAAGAGCCAAAAGTAAAAGCACAAGCTTCCCCAGAAATGCAACTCTCAATATCCCTCATTACCAGCCCATCTTCCTCCTTTTAGGTTTATCATGCCAAGCCCTCACCTTGCTGTCCTTCTCCGTCGC